AGATAAATCAAGCTATTTAGTAACCCTACCTTTCTGTTTTCACAAGAGAAAGCCGTGAAGACCCAAGGAGCAGAAGACACCATTGAGAATGGAGAAGAAAACCAGAGGCAAACACTACATAAAAAAGGTCTAAAATCAACAGAAAAAACGACGGCTTTTTAAACCCTCGGTCCAGGTGATCATCAAAGCTCTTTATGGTTAGCTTGGGTAAGTTCTTGATGTCTTTTAGTAGTTAGGGCTCTGGTAAATATATAAGTGGGCTGGTGTTGTATTATTGTGTGGTGAAGAAGTATGTTCTTAAGCTTGATGTCTTCACAAATAAAATGACAACCCACCTCAATATGCTTACTCTTGACATCAAATACACGATTATGAGCTAATGCTATGGTTGATGCCCTGTCACTGTAAAGCTTGGTTGGTTACGGAGGTTGTCCAGTAAGTTCTTCCAACAGTCTTTGAATCCAGAGTATTTCAACTATTGTAGTTGAGTAGTCGGCCTTAACTGACGATTTCGACACTATGGTTGCTTATTTGCCTCTAAGGAAATTTAATGGTGCCTAGACAAACACAATAGCCAGTAATCGATTTATGATCATTGTTGTCACTTGCTCAGCCGAATTTTGCTTATACAGAGCGAACAAGTGACCAAATAGTGAAGGGTAAACTATAGGTTGAAGTTACCTTTGAGGTACCAAATCTGCTATTTAAGTAACTGAAAATGGTGGGTTGTAGGTGCATGCATGTGCTGACTTAAGTGATCGACAATGAATGAAATATCGGGTCATGCTACAATTAAGTATTGCAATGCACTAATGAGTTCTCTATAGTTTTGAGGATTAGATAGAGCAATGGTAGAAATGATCTGCTTAAATGACTGTAGTGAAATAAGGGTTAAACAAGATTTATTTGCAACATGTTATACTTGTTTAAGAGATCAAAGAGGTATTTTGTTTGACGTAGAAAACAACCTATTTAAGTTTTTTCTATGTGCAGACAAAAAATTGAAAAGATAACCCAATTTTTTTAGCTTTATTTGCCCCCCAATTGTTTGAATTAAACAATGAATAGCGGTGTTTGAGTTTTCAGGTATCAGTATGTCATCTACATAAATAAGTTGATAAATTCTGATATTTTCATGTTGATATTAGAGTAATGAATGAACTTATTTACTTAGCTAAAATTTTTGTATATACAGAAAATTGCATAATGTTGAGTATCATTGCCTTGGTGCTTGTTTAAGGCCATATATGGCTTTATTCAATTTGCAAACATAATTTTGATGAAGACTGTCTTAGAATCCAAGAGGTTGAGACATGTACATAATATTATCTAATGTACCATGCAAGAAAGCATTAGAAACATCCAATTGATGTATTTGCTAATTTTATGCAGTAGCTAAAGCAATTAACATTCTAATTATAGTTAATTTAGTAATAGAGCTAAATGTTTCCATATAATTAATACCTTGCTTTTGCTTGAATCCCTGGGCCACCAAAACAGCTTTATATCGAGCTATCTTGCTATAAGGGTGATATTTGATCCTAAAGATCCATTTAGACCCTAATACATTTTGATGAGGGCTTAATGGAACCAAGGTCCAAGTACCTTGCTGTTGCAAGACAAGAAATTCTTCAAAAATTGTTTGCCTCCAATGATTTTAAATCTTGATTTAAATTATATAGAGTATCACAGTATGTTTGGTGCAATAAAGAAGATATTTTTGATGGTTTTAGTGTGCCCGTTTGTGCCCGGGTTACCATGTGATGAGTTTTTGTGATAATTTTTGGTGGAGGGGAAAGAGGTGGAGTAGCTGAGAAAGTATCAATATCGGGGTGAGTATTTTGATGTAAGGGTTACGTGTGGAACTTGGAGTTGTGTGGGTGTTGGGTTTAGCAAGGGCAGAAGGTTGTGGGTGATTGTTAAATGATGTGGAATGAATGGTAGATGTGGGAATAATTAGAGAAGGAGATATATTGGTTTCAGTAGGTGTTATAGTAGGAAGAGGTTGAAAGTCACTCAACGGAATGTAGGTTTTATTAAATTTAACATGACTAGAAATAACGTGGCACTTCTATTGATGTCAAAGCATTGAAAACCCTTGTGACGGATGTTGTAGCCAAAAAAAACACAAAAAGGAGCCTTAGAGGTAAACTTGTGATGCATTGAGGGTTGGTAGCAAGGGAAACATTCACAACCAAGGGTATTCAGTGGGAGATTCAATGAGTGGTTGGGAAGGCATGTGCTTAATGTGATATATAGTTGTTTGGACAACAGTAAGCCTAATTTTAGTGGTAAGGGAGGTGGTGTTTAAAAGGGTTCGAGTAGTTTCAATAATGTGGTGATTTTTACGCTCTAGCGCTCCATTCTGTTCTAGAGTATAGGGGCAAATGATTTGATGTTCGATGCCATGGTGTTGTTGGTATTGTTGAAGTTGATTGGATTGATACTCGGTGCCTCCATCTGCTCTTAAATATTTAATATAGCATTTGTACTAATTAATGAGATTTTAATGCAAATTAATGAAGCATATGGAAACTTCAGATTTAGCATACATCAAATAAATCTAGAAGTATCTAGAATAAGAGTCTATAAAAGTAATAAAGTAAGTGCAGCCATCCCCAAAATTCAGAATGAAGTAAATCAAACAAAGCACATCTAGTTTTGCTTATAGAAAATGTTTGTTTATGGCTATTGTATTGTAAATATGTAGTACATATATGATAATGTTTAGGTATTTTAAGGTGTGGTTGTTGCTTATTGATAATCTGCGTCACTTTTGAGTACGAATTCCCAAGCTCGTTGTGTCAATCCGATGGAGAAATGGTGGGGTTGTGGGGCCTTTGGGGGGAGTCCTTTATGAAGATTGCCATTGAGAAGGGGAATCTTGATTTTTTGAGATCCTGTATCAAGAAGCCGTTAGCATGAAATGTAATCAAACAATTGTTATCTTTTACAAATTTAGATGCAAAGAGCATATTATGTGAGAACTTTTGAATACGTAGTATATGTGAGATAAACAACTTACGGTCTGGAGTTGGTAAGAAACCCATGCCCAACAAGAGAAATGTATGGTGACATATGGGTTGTTGCTTCTGTGTCTAGAAACCAGTCCTGATTCTTGGTACTTGTGGTGACATGGAGACCAGTTGTAGCTTTTCGTGCTACTGGCTTGTACTGTAGATTTGCTCTTTGCCAACACTTTTCAGCCGAGTGACCTTCATTCGACAAATTTTACAGATAGTGGGGATTAGTGGAAGATTTGTTGTTGTAGGAGTTTTGTTTGGTAGTTTGCTGTTGATTTTTTGAGAGGATTTTGTTTTTAAAGAAAGTGCTTTATTTTTATACAAGGGGAGGGCAATGGTATGTGTGGATTGAAGGGCTTCATTGGCAAATGTTTATCTCTTCATTGTTTAAGAAAGAATAAAAGACTTCAAGACACAGAGGGGTGAGTTGAGTTCTGATAGCAGCTTTTAGAGATTGATAGGTTGAAGGGAGACCATTCTAGCAGCTTTTAGAGATTGATAGGTTGAAGGGAGACAATTCATAGTGTATATGATGATATCCTCATTATCAACTTTAGATCCAACTACAATGGTGTTGTCAACAAGAGTTTTAATTGAGGTAAGGTATTGCATCATGGTTTGGGATCCCATGCAAAGATTATGTAATCATGTTTTAATTGAATAACTCTAGACCAATTAGCATATTGGAATCATTTTTCTAAAATTGTCCATATGCTAGATGTATTAGTAAGATGAATGATGTATGGTAGAAAAGAGGGGAAATAATGGAGAAGAGTGCAACAACAAGATTTTGATCGTTTAACTTCCTCAAGACATAATCAGGGCTTTCAATAGTTGTGCTATTGGAATCTTGTTGTTCTTGAGGTGAGAGAGAGAAATTTGGATCAAGAAATAATCCAGAGCCATTTGCAAGAAAGATTTTTTGTACCTGAACCTTCCATACAATGTAATTTTTGAAATACTACAGATTGTTTGCCATGGTACTGATATTTTGCATCAGTTACTTTAATGGAGAGGTCATATGCATATCCTTCATCCTGATTAGAGAGTCTTATGATGAGATGGTGAAAATTGGAGAAGCTGAAGAAGAGGAGTCTGTGGATCTTGGAGCCTTTAACCGAGCAATACACTGATACCAAGAATGAACTCACAGAATAGAGAAGAAGAAGAAGAAGAAGAAAAAGCTCAGAGGAATAACATGGAAGCTAACTCTCATATATATTTCATCTTAATAAAACAATTACATAAGTTTGATTTTATAAACAATAGAGTGGCAAACTAGTAAATACATCAGAGGATGCAATTATCATTTTAATACATAATACAAGTAGTATACAACCAATATATCAAGCTATTTAGTAACCCTAGCTTATTGTTTCCACAAGAGAGCCGCAAAGACCCAAGGAGCAGAAGACACCATCGATAATGGAGAAGAAAGCCAGAGGCGAAGAGAACTGTCACGTCAAAGAGCTTTGTGAGAAAACTATCAGTAAATTTAGACTCTTATTAATCCGACTCGCAATCAGTTTTACCAAATCCTAATTTTCATTTTAAAAGAGATGAAACACGAGAATGTCAAAGAGCTTTGTGAGAAAACTATCAGTAAATTTGCTCTTATTAATCCGACTCGCAATCAATTTTACCAAATCCTAATTTTCATTGTAAAAGAGATGAAACACGAGAATAAAAAAAACAAATTGCGTGAAAATTTGATTTAACATAATGTTGGATTCAATTTTAATCTTTTTATATATGATTGGATTTAAGTTAAATTAATTACGAATTACTGTTAATTATATGCTACCAAAAACCGTCTAAATATGTGCTGGTCTTTCTCCATCGTAACTCAGATAATCCTTAGCGAATTACGTGTTCTTAATTTATAGGCAGACTTGAGGAGTCAACCACAGAACTTACCATATTAAATTTAAGTTCTCAAAATTAAGGATAAACATCTGGTTAAATCTTAACCGCTGGCGTTAGTCGTTCGCTAACTCCACAACATCCCTAATTTAATACTCCACAACCTGTTCACTCCCTCGGATTCCATCTCTTCGTCTCCCTTTCTCTGTAGTTTTTCTTCCACACAAGCTCTTGATCAGATCTCTTCATGGCAGACAGCACCGGCTACTTCACTGATTACTTAGTGCTGAAGCCGGACAAGGCCGGCCTTCTCGATCTCATCCATGTCCTGTATTCGGGAAACGTGGACGAGAGTGGGTGTGTGTTCGGGCCGCCGGGGAAGAAGATCGCCGGAATAAGGCGGAAATGGGACATCTTCATCTCCCTTCTTCTGCAGAGAAGTCTGCTCCTTTTAAGCTCTCCTATGTCTCGGGTGGGATCGGCCGTTGGCTTCTGGGGAAATTTGGTTGACGATAATGGCGGCGGATTGTTCCATCTCCTCGCTAATTTTATCAGAGGTAATTTCTCCATCAGTTTTTTGCCGGATAAGTTAATAAAAATTGAAATTTGCCATGCCCAATTCTTTGTAGTTATTAAAGATCATCCTTTTTGATAGCATTAGTAAATAAGCACAAGAAATGAACAATTTTTTTTTATATATTTTTCAGGAGATGGAAAACAGGGATTTTTTGTCGAAAAGTATGAAAATTTTTTAAAGAAGAAATTAAAGCGACTGTATATTATATATATTATATATCCATAATTATGCGTATTTTATTTCTTACCTACACGGACCCCCTTAATTATGCGTATTTTATTTTTTTTAAAATTAAAATAATAATATTTTTGCTGTGATTTAAACGATCTAAATGCTATAAATATCAGAATAATTTTGGATGTTACATATGTAAACATATAAAATTATGCCCCTTCCCAATATTTAATTAATGTACGAGATTCAAATTTCTTTAATTGAAATAATAATTAGAGGGTGAAATTCTTTAATAGTCTTATTAATGATCTGATTTATTGCTAAAAGATCTAGTTTATTATAATAATTGGACTGGATCCTGATCCTAATCTAAAATATCCGATTTAACTATTTTTGGTATTTTTTTAATGATTTTTTTTTTTACTATATTTATTTGAGAGTAAGGAAATTATTGTATTTTGACATGAAAAAATATATAGCAAATGTTATGATAAGAATGGGTTATATTGGACTGCAAAATTACTTAATTTATTATGAGAAGCGTGCAGTTCATTCATTGATAGTCAATCGAAGTTTATATTACAATGATTTAAATGTAAGATGATAAAATTATATGCAATTTCTATATAGGAAGATTGCTTAGAATATCTGAGCCATTTTTTTTCCCTTTTTGGGATAGTATTTGTGGGACGCACGTTATCATTACAATTTCTATTTTTAATGAGGAAAATGATTTCTGCAGCTTTTATTATTATTAGGAATAATTGCAAAAAAATCATCCGAAATGAAATATTGATATTCTTAAACTATTATGTTATGTGTGTCACGATCAAACTATTAAAATTTGGCAAAATTGAAAAATATGGGTTAGCATAAATTTTGATATTTGAGCGAGAATTTAAAAAATAAATGAAAGACGGTGGTTGATTTATAAATATGTAGTTTTGGGTGATCTGTATGTAATTGCCCCTTATTAAGATTAGTATTTTTCATTATAGAATAACATTGGCATGCAATTTTGGTTGGGTTCATTGTGGAACAAGCATGTCTAATTTTTGAAATATTGGGTAGATTGCTTGAATTATATTAAAAAAAAAATTAAATTTTACTATTTATATACAAAACTTGCAAATTTGGTATGAATTAATTTAGAAATTGTTTGAAATCATTTTTTTTGTTTTTTAAAAATAAATCAACTTACTTTTAAAAATATTAAAAAAATAGTTATTTTGAATATTATTTAGAACAAAATTATTTCCAACATATCAAAAATGTTTTATTTCAAATGTAAATGTAAACAAAAGAAAATGAAATAAAATAAACAAAAGAAAGAAAGAAAGAATGATCCTCTAATCGGTGGTTGGACAAAGAGTGTCACTCCTTTTCGGGATTTGGATTCTGACTATCATAAACCTATTTCATTATTATATTTTTTAAAATTTATATTTTAAAGTACATTATAACTTAAAAATAACATTTATATTGTTCTTTTTGTTATTGAATAAAAATTTAAATATTTTTTCTTTTGTTATAGTATATGAACTTTTTATATTCTTGAAAAAATATTATGTATGGAAAACTAATTACGCGAAAGATTACCTGAATCTTTTCATGCCCTAAACATATAGTCTGTTTGAGGCAGTTGCAACTTATTGAATAATTTGCTGATATGCTGATTAAAAATAATCTGGTGATAAGTTAGATGCGGTGGCTATTAAAATTTTATATTTTTTTGGAAAAGTTAGGCCGCTGCCAAAAAGCTACCACCGCACGGTCTGAAAATGTTGCTTTAAGCTGCCAAAATGCAATTTACCCAAACAATCCAGATGCGTTTTCAAAACGTCATTGCTGATATGCTGATTAAAAATAATCTGGTGATAATTTAGATGCGGTGGCTATCAGAATTATATATTTTATTTGGAAAAGTTAGGCCGCTGCCAGAAAGCTACCACCGCACGGTGTGAAAATACTGCTTTAAGCTGCCAAAATGCAATTTACCCAAACAGTCCAGATGCGTTTTCAAAACATCGATTATATTAGAGCATTGACATCTCCCTGTTCAATTCCTTGTCTTCTTTCTTTGGATGAAATTAAATGCATATCTCTTAGTGCATTACAAATTCTCCACACCACCAACCTCCATGGCTATGAAATTGTATGCATGTGTTGCTCCGACCCCTGACATTGATCTCAACACATCTGCCTTCAGCTCACTTATTCTTCTGCTGGAACGAAGAAGATACTTATCACAACTTTTCGGCAAAAGGATGATTGTGATTTTCAATGAATTTCGTCACTGTCCAATTGCCATCGACATCAACAACAAATCGAACAATGGTCTTACAGTCGGTTCTCGTGTCTGCTTTTCTGAATTTAACTGTGCTGTTAGGCTCTTTCTTGTAGCCAACTTTTCCACAAATATAATCTTTGATCTTGAGTTTCTTGGAGTTCGACCAATAGGTAGTATGATCATTCCGAACAGTGAATCCTACTTGATGTAGATAAACACGATAGCTTTTATATGCTTCTTCGCTTCTTCCTCATTCTGGATAATGCTATTTAGAAACTTCTCTGCAATTGGATCATTGCAAACTTGTGTTATATAAATATATCTTTTGCTTATATATATATATATATATATATTTTGAAGGCTAGGTTCATAACCCAAAAGTATTTTGAATGTAAGTGTACCATGCAATGTGATTATATATGGGTAGTGATTTGGCGCTTCTGTTGTTTAATTAGGCGAAGTCCGAATGCCAGTGAAGGGATCCGATTCATACAAGTCCGCCATTGGACTGATTGATACAAGGCTGCAGCTGGATAAGGCTATTGGGAATAGCGACCCCCGATACCAAGCAGCGCTTGCTGTGATGGCTTCCAAACTTTCTTACGAGAACCAGCTCTTCATTGAAAGCACCGTGAAAGATAAATGGAAGGTAATTTGGTCAATTTAAATTTTTCATTCATAGTATATAATTTATTTACAATTTTTTTATTATATTTACATATCAAACACCTAAACATTCTTATTTACACATGTTTGGTATCAGGGGCGGAATAAGAATTATTTTTTATGGTGAGCTAAATTATTAAATGTTCAATTTTTTTAAGTTTTTGGGAAGGAAAAATAAATTGAAAGAGAGAAAAATGATTAAATTGTCTAAATTATGTGAAAAAAAATTAATAAGTTTTGCTATTTATAGAAGGAAATTGTAATTTCTGAGGAGGTCAATTGCTCACCCTAGACATAACATGATTCCGCCTCTATAGGTATATTACTCAAATCCTTAACAACACATAAAAAATATTATTGATGTGTGCTAAAAGATTCGTGATAGAAGAGTGATTATTTAGCGTTTTAGCTTTGTATGAGAATCCAACGCGCACACAATTAATTAAAAGAGATGGGTAGAGACACTAAAATTTTTTTAAATGGAAAACTCGGAGAAAGAAAAAATCACGGGGCATAGCCCAATCAAAAAATGATACACCACAATAGCTTGAGGAGCATAAGTACAAGCCCTTGTCAAACAAGTGGGAAAGGATCAAGTACTTATTATGTTCGTATGCAGGGAGGCTTGTTGCAAAACGATTGAAATTGGTTGTATTTGTTGTAACTTTGGTACACTCTCTTCAAAGTGTGTTGCCTCAGTATCAAACCTTGAAGTGATCAACTTTTTGATCCAGTTGAAGAGGAACTCCAACACAGTGAGAGTGCTCGAAACAATTCTCAAAGACTTGATAACTACTCTATCACAATCGTGCTCGAGATGTTAACATGAATGATCTTTCGAGACTGTAGTGATTGTTGCCCTCTCAAAGTATAAGCAGTTTTCATAGACTTTGTGTTTGAATAAGATACAAGAAGACTACATCACAATCGTGCTCAGGATGTTAATGTGAATGGTCTTTCAAAATTGTAACGAAGATTGCCCCCCACATTGAAGAATGCAAACAAAATATCTTTAAGAGGTACAAAAGGATATTTCTTCGCTAGTTGGATGATATATATTATTGTAAAATGAAGCGGGAGTTTGATATCTCAGACATGAGGACTGTGCTAAACGGGTCTTAGTTCCCCATAGACAACTCTAAGTGGATGTGTGCTTGAAGTATCGTGGCGGTAGAGTGATTATTTATCATATTAGTGTTGCACAAAAGTCCAACTTATACTTAGATAATTAAGGCGACAGACGGAAACAATAAAAATTTTAAGGTGGAAAAACTGGAAAAGAAAAAAAAAACACGAAGCCTGAGAAATAATCAACCATAACTTGATGAGTGCATGTACATACATTTTCTCCCATAGGCATGAAAGAGTCACACATTTACTGTTTCGTATACAAGGGAACTCGTTGCACGGTGAATGAAAGCATTTGCAGTTGTCAGAACTTTGGTAAATCTTCTTCGAAGTGCTCTTTCAGAACGACACACTGCTCAATAGAATGCTTCGTTGCTTCACATTGTTGGCAGCTACTCCACACTGTCCTTTTTTACTTTGCAATGTTAATCACTACTTTGCTCAACACTTTATTGCTCTGCATCGTTGGTCGTTGTTTAACAAGGTGCTTCATTGCTCTGTATCATTGGTCGTTGTTAAACAAGATACTTAGTTACTCAGCAGCTTCGGTCATTATTCTACGATGTGCTCAATTAGTCTGCAACATTGATTGCTACTACGCAGAATACTTCATTGCATTAAGTAGAGGGTGGTCAGAGGTGGTTGACGGTGACTGGCATCAGATGTCGGCGGTGGTTGGAAATGGCAGGTGCAGAAAGCATTTGTTAGATCTTTAAAACAGAACACTGGAGTTCAGCTCCTTCTCTTCTCGAAACTCCTCCAAACTCAGGTCTTAGTCCTTTTTCATAAAGTGGGTAGGGCTTTATTTATAGAGTCTAGACAATGCTACCTGATAAATAAGAAATGAATCCGGACCACTCCATCAGAAGATCCAACCTTTTATCGGATGGCGTTATGTGGACATGTGAGTGTATTAATGATGTCAGAATTGAATGATTTTTCAAATTAATGATATTAGAATTAAATGATCTTTGAACTCATTGGATTTGTCTCATCGAGATGCTAAATTTGACTATAAACCTATCGGATTTGGAATTCGTTTGACCATAGAATCATGCACCAGAAGCTTCCAAAATTAATTTAATAGCTCAATCAGGGCTTGATGTGACATGGATTGGACAAACTTTACTATCATTGTGTTCATCTCATCGAGTTGGTCAATTTGACTATAAAGTTGCTAAAATCAAAATTCGTGATGATTTTTAATTGAGATTTGAACGTTTCTTGTAAAAAGAATTACATCGAGATGAGTGACATGCCTCAAGGTCCCTGCAGGATGATGAAAATTTGTTTATGGTTGATTTTTAATTGAGATTTGAACGTTTCTTGTAAAAGGAATTACATCGAGATGAGTGACACGCCTCAAGGTCCCTGCAGGATGATGAAAATTTGTTAATGGCATATCAATCGTGATCATTATATTTTAAAAGTGAAATACATTTTTTCATGTATGGGTTTATGATACCAAGGTGTCAGTATAAATATCAAATTTTGGGTGTCAGATATGTAAACACATAAAAATTTTGAGGCATGTAAAATGTAAAATTTCTTATACATAAAGCTGGTGCAAAGTGCATATGCAGCATCAATGTCGAAAATATTCGTTTAATAATATTTCAAAATTAGATACTGGTTTCCCCGGAAATAATAGATTTAGCATCTTTGAATTGCAGATGGAGTTCTTGGCCTACTACAATTGCTGGAATGGTAAGTTTTTTGAATGTGCCTGCAAAAGTGAGCAAATTATAAATATGACTTCAATAAGACACATAACCTCTCATTTAACTAAATTAGCCGATTAGGCCCATTTTTGTGCCCAATCTTGTTGCAACATATAGAACATGTTTTATAAAATTAATAAATTTCACCATTTAGATGGAGCTAACTAGAAAACTGGATGAATACCCATCATTCAAACTTAATAACATTAGAAGTTTACAGCTATATATATATATATATATATATAACACTTAAATTTTATATTATACATTCGTTTTACCCAAACTTTCATATTACATAAAAAACAATACCTAAATGGACATCTTCATGGGTAGATAAGCTGGTAAGCATTTAAAAATTGAAGTTTCGGTGTTAAATATGTAAATACATAAGAATTGAGTCGAATGCATGTAAATCATCTCAACATAGTTACATCGGTAGCACACAATTCTTATGGATTTACCTATAAAGTTTCTTTTTTACACGGATAATAATTTATCTATGAATGAAAAGATACATTTGAATAATAAAAGGTGATAACTAGTGTTATTTTTCATATGATACTCGTAAATATTAAAGATTGGGTGTGGGATAGCTAAATCTATGAGAAATGGTTGCTATGTATGTAAATGCCCCTAAAAATTAATACAAAAGATTTTCAATGAGAATTCAATCAAATATTTTCCCCAATACTTCCTTTTCTTTTAATGAATTGGAGAAAAAAAAAAAAGAGGTATTACATGAATAACACTCAAAATTTGCTATAAACAAAATTAGCAAACGTCATTTTGATAATTCTTTATACTTTTTTGCAACATATTAAAAAAATTCAAATTGTAGATTAGACCATTGCCATTTTGGGCTGTACCTCCGTTGGCCCCTGACCTACCTAAATATCCCAAAAGCTTGAGATTTTTGGATGGATATGCAGCTTAGAATGTGTTGGAATGAGCAAATAAATCCAATCAATGCAACAAATTATATCGTCTTATTTTGTGAAGCCTTCTTCACGTATAAGATTGGATTGAAAAAGGCATAAGCCTCTCGCAATCTTGCTGCCGTTTCGCTTTTGCTCTATAAGATGGACACAGTCTGGCACCGGAAGACGACGGTGGCGTGTTCTTTCAAATTTGATTGATAAAAATAAAGTTATTACATGTAAAAAAAAATTAATAGTTTTTAAAACAAAACATGACAAACAAAGATATTTTTCATTCATTTTAATTATTTTTAAAAATTTGAAAACATAATATAATAGCAAAAAAAATGTCTTAGATGTCCAAAGTAAGGTTTGGGAGGATTGTGGAAAATTATGTGTCACTTTTCTGAAGTCAAAATAATAATATTTTTTATTTCGTATAATAATATAGGTGGCATGAATGCGAGAATTTAAGTTTAGGTGTTAAATATGTCAAGATATAGGAATTGGGTCATGAGTGTAAAATCCCCAATTTACTTAGTCTTATTATAAATAAATTTATGTCTATATTGTTTTTTATTTACATCCTCCCTAATTATTAAATCTTTACTCTTTTCATGAATATTATATAAATTCTTAGAAGATGTCGTAAATCATGATCTCCTCTTGTGTATAATGTTTATTTTATGTGTAAATAAGATTTGATATTAACCAAATACGTGTGTTTAGCAGGCATTGATAGTGCGCGACGGATGTAACAAAATCAAAATTAAACGGTAAGTGTCAAGCTGATACGTACAAGAGAAATTAAGGTAGAACCAGTCTTTTCTTAAGAGGAGACTACATCTTAAACTCAACATGAAAGGGTCTAGGTTAATAAAGGATAAAGTGATAATTTATGAGAGGTAGAAGACCAAATTGACCTTTTATATGAATAAAAGTTTGAATTTGAGAGGGGGCAATTGTCCCCTTGAACCTTATGTGGGTCTGCCGTTTGGTAGAGTGGTTAATTCAAGTCTTAGCATTGCACGAGAACCCAACACACTTAAATAATAGAAAATGACTGGTAGAAAAATCAGAAGATTTATTTTAATGGAAAACCAGGAAAGGGAAAAAACTACGGGGTCTGACCCAGTTGAGGTATTTCACTATGAGTAAATGATTACAATTACAAATATTATCCCACAGGAGAAAAATTGTTACACAGTTTCTCAAGTTATAATGTCGGTGTGTGGAAGTACTTGTAGCCCTGCGGTATAAGCATTTGCGAGGAGGAGTGATAGTTATGGCTTCAATGCATTGTCTTCGGGGTTGGCATGGCGTCTGAGTTGATGGTGTCATTTCTTAGGTTGTTTCATACAATTCTTCATCACAACTAGTAGACAACGACCGGTGGTGGTTGATGGTGGGTGACGACAGAGGCAGGAGGTGCCAGAGGGGAACGCGACCTGAGTTGGCTGGAGGCAGCAGTGACAACAACGACGACCTGAGTTGGTCGGAGGGCGGTGGTGGTGCATGAGTTGATCAGAGAGCTGAGGCGACTGTCGGAGTGGCAAAGGGCGATGATGAGTGAAGTAGGAATGATGCGGGACTTCAACTCTCTCTCTATAAGTTTCAGTTTTCTTTAGACTCCAAGCTTTATTTCCTTTCACATTAGAGAATATGACTCTATTTTTAGAGTTTTGGTTGCATTTAAGGAAAGAATCTGAACCACTTTGATCGGACAGCCAGAAGAAATTCACTTAATCATACAAATGTTTGATGGGTTTGATGAACATTTGAGTATCTTAACGATGTTGTAATTAAGATTTGACTATGGGCTCTTCATATTCGAAGTTAGTCTAATTTTCCAAAAATGCCCAAAAAGCTTCCAAAGTGGTTTATTGGTTTGATATAGGTTTGATTTGTCTTGGATTCGATCTATTTTGATAGAGCTGAGTTCATATTGTCAAGGCGCTCAATTTAATTATAAGTTTGCTCAAATCAGATTTCTCAATGACTTCTAATTAAAGTTTAAATATTTATTGCTTAAAAAATTATCTTGAGTTTTATATTCTGCCTTAAATTTATGTAGGAAAATAAAAATCAATTGGTGAACTATCAATAATAATAATTATTATAATAACAATAATAATAACAATAATTTGCTCTTCTCATTTTCACCTTGTGTCCGAATTAAAAATAAAAAAAACCCAAAAACAATAATAATAACAATAATTTGCTCTTCTCATTTTCAACTTGTGTCCGAATTTAAAAAAAAAAAAAAAAACCCAAAAATCCCAAAAACGATATTGTCAAAATCAACTTTTGGAAAGTCAATTTTATCGTTTTTAAATTTTTTTATAAGAAATAAATATTGTTATATTAAAAGATTAGATAACTATTTCGATTATAAAAATTCGGTTTTTTAATGTATGAAAAATCAACTCCAAAGCTTCAACTTTAACTATTTCTTTGTGCCTGCGCGCGCTCATGCGGACCTCTTCCTTTTTGTCGACTTATTAAAGAAGAAAAAAAAAAAACTTTATAAACTACTAATCAGTAATAAAGATTAGAAATCAACTTCGCAAATGAATATTATAATAATTGAAAGATAACAATCATAGACAAGTAACGCGGTATATATATATATATACATTGCTTGATTAAAGAAAGATAAATATCTCTGTTTTGATATCATTATTTATACCAAGATAAACAAATAATTAAATAGTAAATAAAGGGTTGACCAAAATAATTTTCATACCCAACATACAACTAGACCAAAACTTGAAGGGTAAAATCCCTTGTTCAAGTTTACCAAAATAATTTTCATACCCAATTTAGGTTGACCTGCTGATCCAAAAAAGACCCGGCTATACTAAATTAACTCAAAATAAAGCTACCAAACAAAATTTGACCCGAAGTTGATTAGAAATTGACCCAAATCTGACCTGATTTTGACTAAAATTGTTGTTATTCATTATGTTAAATGAGTTTTACAGATTGGGTTTGGGTTGATGAGTTGAAGACAAGTCGTGTTCAGGTCCGACTTTCTAACCTATTAAATCTTGAGATCTGATTTAGATAAAGTTATTTTGGGTAGATTCAGTTTCCAGTCAGAACTAAATCCGACCTATGAGCCTGATTTGACTCCCCTTAAAACAAATAAATAAAATAGTAAAGCGTTTACTACGCTGGAATAATCGATTAACCTTTCAGCACATCTAACGAATAATGATGTGCACCTTCTCCAAGTAACAAAACAAAGATTTAATGAGGAAAAATTTACTCATTATATCGTGTCCATTTTTTATTGATATAAAGCAGGATGATGCCAACACATTCTGTTTTGAGATGAATTTAATTTAAATTTTATCTGATTCTTTTTAAAGTAAATATATCTTAAGCTTAAATTAATAAAGATTATATATAATATTTCAGATTTCGCGGAGAATTTCTCCACCCAAGCCTTCATGATGTGCGACAAAACCAGCAGCTCCGGCGATCTCATCATCGTCGCCTTCCGCGGCACCGAACCCTTCGACGCCACCCAATGGTGCGCCGACATCGACTTCTCATGGTACGAAATCCCCCAAGTCGGCAAGATCCACGGCGGCTTCATCAAAGCCCTCGGCCTTCAGAAGACGGCCGGCTTGCCCAAAGACCTCCCCACCCACTCCCCCCATCACCCGCCCTACGCTTACTACGCCGTCCGCGAGAAGCTTCGCGACGCGCTCCGCCGAAATGAGAGCGCGCGGTTCATCGTGACGGGGCACAGCCTCGGCGGCGCTCTGGCGGTTCTGTTTCCGGTGGTGCTGGCGCTGCACGAGGAGGACTTGTTGCTGGAGAGGCTGGAGGGGGTTTACACTTTTGGGCAGCCGAGGGTGGGGGATGAGAAGCTTGGGGACTTTGCGGAGAAGTATTTGGGGGAGTCGAATGGACGGCGGAGATACAGCCGGTTTGTTTACTGTAATGATATGGTGCCGAGGTTGCCTTACGATGATTCGACGCTGCTGTTCAAGCATTTCGGCAAATGTCTCTATTATAATAGCTTCTATAGAGGAAAGGTGAGTTTGCCATTATTTGTTCATGCATCGCACGGTTTTTTGGTTTAAGCTGTTTAGATTGTTGAAATTTACATGGTTGATTTGGTTATATTTGATATAAAAGACATGAATGGATGGTGTACTGATTCAAACCATAAGATGCGGGAGCAGATTGTGAGGAATATAATTAACCAATTAGTTGAAAACATTTGGTGTAATTAAGCTGAGTTTTTGTAATCTAGTTGTCCAGGAGTTTATATTTATGTATTTTATAAAGTTTCTAATTGTTGGACCCTGATTTGTCTATGGATCATATATCCAAAGATATGAGAGAGAGAGAGAGAGAGAGTTGCACAATAATAAATAGTAACCAATTTTATCGAATAGCTTTCTAATAAAATGATTCCACTATTTATTTAGGAGGGAGTATAATATGTGAAGTTACATATTTGTCTTTGTTTTAATGAGAGTGCTACATAATTTTTTTTGATATTTTATATGTAAGAGATTATGATCCTACAACCTTATGATTCGGTCAACTGAAATCAGTGGGTCTTGGTTTCACAAGACTTGCTCGTTCGACTGTGTTGAATCGGGATTTTTGGTTAGCCTTTGATAGTCTTAATGTCGGCAAGACTTAGCCCGATCGGATTGGATTTACGGATCAATTATTTTAGTCTTGTTGTCGAATATTGATTTCTGGATAAGGAGTTTATGTTCGTAGAATGAGACTAAATTATGGTTGAATCACTGTAATTCAGTAGAGAGTTATTCCTAGACGAAGATTTCCATCAAGATGTTCTTTCTAGGTTATGTTATTGAAAATTAAGTTGAAATTGACTGTGATTAAGTAGTTAGTCCAAATTTCTTTGAAAGTAAATAAGCTGAATTTCTGTCATCAAGTTGTCTAGGAGTTTACATTTATGTCAGTTATAAAGTTTATAATATTTACATATCTAATATCCAAGTTAAATTTGCTTACCTTAAATCCAACAGTTTTAAATATGCGGAAGCTAACTTCAAAGTCTTACCTGGCCTTAATTCTAATATAAACCAAAAATTTTCTGTGTAGTCATGTAAGGATAGAAAAAAATAAGTTAATCTAAAATTTAGAGTCGACAAAATTTCTATAATAGGCTGATTTTAGCTTGATTGAGAAATCATGTAACTATGTAGCGAACCAATCCAATCGACATGAATGCAACTCAAATCTTCTAATATCACACTTACCCAAAGCTTTTGCATCAGCACAATTTGCTAGCTCTATTATGCCGCCAGTTCTCTGTCCATCTAAACACAGCAACCAACAAAGTTTGAGCAAGCACCCATCTAAACACAGCAACCAACAAAGTTTGAGCAAGATCAAGGCCAACCTGTAACATGTTTGTTCGTATTAATTTAGCTTGTTTTATACTACGATTCTTGATCAGTTTTATGTTTTAAATACTTCCATCCATACTTCTGCTGTTTAATGCAATGAAATTTGGTTGGATTACTGCATCCTTTAACCAATGTTCTAGTATTGAATTCATTTTAACATTGCCCTGTGTTTTCAGAGAGAATCGTTTATATATTTTGTATATTATGATGCAGGTGGAGGAAGAAGAGCCAAATAAAAACTACTTCTCATTGTTGACTGTGATTCCCAAATATTTTAATGCCATGTGGGAGATCATTCGAGGATTTTTTATTGGATTTATTGAAGGGTCGGATTACAGCGAAGGATGGGCTCTACGGCTGTTGAGGCTGTTCGGGCTGATAGTACCTGGATTACCACCGCATTCCCCTCAGGATTATGTCAACTGTACAAGACTGGGAAATTATCTGCCATTAGAGAATGACACAAAAGAATTTAAGCTAGATTAGATGTATATTCATTTGGTTTTTGTTGGAATTTTGTTATTTGAGTGAAAGTAAATTGAAAAAGTGACAATAAAAAACACAGAATTAGTTCTTTTGCACGTACTTAAAGTTGTGTCACATTTCCATGAATTGCATTTCTGCATGTAAACTTTGAGCAAGATTTTAAAGAGTATGCTTGATGTGTACCTGTTAGTTAAGGTGGTGAGGTTAATAATATAATAATATAATTGATGAATTAGCAGCATTTGTCTGCCATAAGGGTGCTTATAATTAATATAGCTCAAAATTGGATTGATTAATTGTATTTTGGCTAAAATTATGATTTATGTAAAACTCATTTATTTTTGGAATTACCAATATATTAACCAATAATCTTAAAGAATTTTACACCTGATCTTTTAATGTAAAATCAGTTGAATTCAAAATTTCACTAGAAGGCTCAATGATGAGTTTGGATGAACATACCGTTTATTTATGAATTTAGGGGTGTAAATGAGCCGAACACGAGCAAGCCCAGACCCAACTCGTGTTCGGCTCGTTTCTATTTCGAGCTCAAAAAGTGTATTCGTGCCCGGCTCGTTTGCTAAGCAAGCCGAACACGAGACGCTCACGAACAA